TTATAGTAGGATGTCTGGGCCTGGCGAGCTTCGCCCCAGGAGGTTGGGCTCACTTCATCGTCCGTGTCTAGGAAGAGAAGCTGAGCGGTCTGGCTCTTCAGGGCGGGTTTTTGGTCCGGGTTATTTGGGTCCCACAGCCTGCGAGCCGTGCCGCCTCGGCCCCGGCTTCGGGGGCCTTTAGTCCCAGCCCCACCGAGCAGGAGCCTGGGCCCAGGGTGACTGGGTTCGGGGCAGCCCACGGTGCTGGCAGAGAGGTCTGTGTTGGCAGGCAGGAAGAGAATCCCACGGCCCCTCCCTTGGGGCTCTCTGCTCTGGTTCCTCACTTCCAAAGCTTCTGAGTCATTGCAACTAACAGACGCCTTTAGGGGCTTTTTTTTATCTGTATCTGCCAGACTGATGTCCCTGCTCATAGTCTTGCTGTCAAAAGTGACTCGAAAGGGTCCCTTGACCTCCCTGCCGTTGCTGCTCCATTCGCCCTCACTCCTAGAAGCTCGGCTTTGCTCTGAACGCTTCTTCTTGTCCGACAGCCTGCTGGAGACGTATGCGTCCGCCTCTTCGATCCTGTCATCGTCCAGGGAGTCAGTGGAGGATGCAGAGAGTTGCTTTCTAGGACGCAGCCTTTCCCTGGCTCGCTCCTGCCGCCTCTCCACCCCATCCACAAGCAGGGCTCCGTCCACGCTGTTGTTGCTTCCGGCTGAGCTTGTGCTGCAGGTGCGGTACCGGCTCCGTCGCTTGTCCGAGCGGGAGTAGCGCTTGGTGGAGCCCAGCTTCCCCTGCAGCACCTCGTCGCTTGTTCTCCTCACCCTGTCGCTTCGCTCCATTCGTCTTCCTTTTTCGCCCCTTGAGGTTTTCACTCCTTCCCTTGCCTGGCTCCCCTCTCGATCCTCCTTGCTTGATTTCGTTTTCCTGTTATTGTCTTTTCCAGCACCTTTCTCAGTCTCTTCATCTCTCTCAACTTTCAGCTGCTCCATCTTACCGGTAAGTTCCTCAGTAGCTGCCTGCAGGGATGGCTCTTTAGCAGCTGAATGCAGGCGCTTCCCAGGCTGGTAGATCTGCTGGTCTGGCTTCTTGGTTCTCCTGGCGCTCTTGGGACCCCACTCATCTGGAGCAGGCTGTCTGGCCAAGTTCTCCTGGCTCTGGACACCACCTTTAGCCTCTGTCTCTTCATTTTCCTGTGAAGGACCATTCTGCTTGGGGCCATCGCCTTTGCTGAAATCCTCCGTGACTGGAGCGCCTCCTCCCAAAGAGCCCTTGTCACTGGCACTCTCCTCCTTGCCCTCCTCAGCTCTGCTCCTCTCCTTCTCCGAAGTCTCGTGCTTTGGTGGCACAAGTTTGCTCCTCAGTCGGGAGAGGCCAGGCTTGTAAATCTCCAGGTCTGGGCGCCTGCTGTCTTTGCGATGCCTCGGCTCCTTCGCTTCCTGCATGTTTTCTGGGGAAAAAAAAAAGACAGAAGAAAGTTACCTCCACCACAAACTAGCCAGGGACAAAAAAAAAAATAAAATATTATGACAAATGTTCAAGGAAAAATTTTAAATAGAGAAGGCAAAGGGTCTACCATCCCCTGGGCAGGTCCAGAGAATAGATCCAAAAGTCAAGGTTTAGAGGAAATCACAGAGAAAGAGTAGAAAATGAGAATTATTTGGTCAGCTTTGTTATAACAAAGGTGATCAAATCCTCAGCCTAACTCGCTTACAAATCACACCCTTCAACAGGTTTTGCCTCAAAGAGCCAACAAGCTGAGAAAGGGACAGATAAAGCCCAACACAAGCCTTGAACACACGTATGCAAATACCAAGCACGAAGTTTTAGCATTACAGGTTTCAGCAACAGTTGCTGCCTGACATTGGGGCAGGAGCCTCTGTCTGCAGGTGCTGCCTCCTCCAACGGTCCCCCTGCTCTGCCAACAGCTTGTTCTGAGTCAGTGATACATTTTTTCCCCCTTGCCCGAAGAATCACAGAATGTTTGGGGTTGGAAGGGCTCTCTGGAGGTCATCTAGTCCAAGCCCCTGGCCAGGGCAGCTTGCACAGGATGGCACCGGGGTGGGGTCTGAACCTCTCCAGAGACAGAGACTCCACGGGCAGCCTGTTCCAAGGCTCCGACACCCTCACAGCAAAGAGGTTTCTCCTCGTGTTTAGATGGAGCCTCCTATGCTCAAGTTTGTGCCCCTGTTGTCCTGTCACCAGACACCGCTGAAAAAACAGCGGCCCCAGCCTCCTGACACCCATCCTTTAAGTGTTTGTAAGACGGATAAGATCCTCCCTCGGCCTTCTCCAGACTAAAAGCCCCAAGCCCCTCAGTCTTTCCTCCCGAGAGAGATGCTCTAGTGCCCCTCACAACCCAGAGGCGTTTCTACGCTCCTCAACTACATTTACGTGAAAACTCGTTCGAGAGCACCGCCTGGAACACGCACAATCACACGTTTAACCGGAGCCGGGCCGTTACCCGTCGCACCCCCCA